CAAAACGCCCCCCCCCCCCCACCCCCGGCCCTTGACAGCTTGCACCGCACGGACAGATCACAGCAACCCCAAATTTAACAGCCCTTCATTACACTTGGAAAAACATCTCGGCAGTGCCAGGGTGGCCGGGACGCTGCCGGTTCCCTTTGCCGGGACGTCCCCGACCGTCCCAAAAGAGACGCTTACCCCTTAGGCAGCAGCACAAGGTCTTTGCAGATTTATTTTTTTTTTTTGAAGCCTGGGGTGGTTTAGTCCACAGGGCTCCTCTCCAGCCTCCCCAGGGCTGTTCGAGCTCAGAGTCGGATCACATGGAGGGTAGAGGGAAAATATCAGCCCTATTTAAGGAAACACGGAGAGGAATGCGCTGCCTGGTGTCCCCCTTGCCAGGGACAGGCTCATTTACGTCCCTCTGCGGATCAGCGTCCCCAGCTTGGATTTTTCAATCCAAGATAAAGCTTTGGATGGAAAACACTTCATCGTTTTCAGCGATAGGATAAAATATCTTTGGCTATCGGGCAAGACGGGGCAGCTGCCACCATGCAACACAGGGACCCACCCAAGCACAGCCACCTCCTGGGGGCTCACCACCCGCCTTGGCCATCACCAGGGCGAAAGAAATAAGCACAGTGGTCATCCAACTGCTTTATTTAAAGAGCTGGGCAGCTTTTTCATCGTGTCCAGCCTCTTTCGGGGGTTACAAGCAGCACAGGGATGCCTTCCTGACTGCAATTTTCAATTACAGCAAAACCAGCTTTATAAACGTGTGCTTCGAAGTCGCTGGTGGCGATTTCCAGCATGGAGGAAGGGCAGTTTCTCCTCTGTGGTGTTTCCCACATCGATAGTTACTTAGAAAAGAGAATTTCTAAAAAAATTATTGTATTATTATATATTCCCCCCCCCTCAATTTCTGTCTGCTGACAGAGGGAACGGTCTTTTGAGCTGCCACAGCAAGCGTGCTTTCTTAGCTAATATATTACCATCTCGAAGCCCTCAAGACACAAATGGTCTGTCCCTCCCCTCCCTCTTCCCCCCGCTCGGGTCTTCTCCTGCCTACCCTACACCAGTGCCACCACAAACGTGGGTTGCAAGGGCAATAATGAAAGTTTCCGGCCTGATGAATTGCAGGAAGAAAAACCCCCAAACCACAGGGCTGAGACCCCGAGATGCTCTGGCCGTTGCTCACGGGTGGGAGAAGGCAGCATCCCTCCCTGATGGGATCCGCCTCAGATGTCCCCCATTTTTAGGGGGGTAAGCGGGGCAAGATGCCGCAAGGAGAGAGCATACAGGCTGCAGGCATCATCTGAGAGGGCCAGGAGGGCTCCACATTGAAACAGCTAGAAAAAGAAGTCAGATTCTCTGGAGAGCCTCAAGTGATTTATTGTCAGATGGGAACTACCAGTTGGCCATCCCGTGGTGGGGCAAAAGACAAGATTTAAGGCTTTACAGGTGGCTAAGAACAAGCAGGGATTAAAGAGGAATTCATCGGTGCTATTAAAGTGCAGCGAGATGTCGCGAAAGGCGAAGACCACGGTGTCCATCCCCTCTAGTGCCTTCAGTGATGTCCCTAATCGCCCACCTTCGAGCACGGCTGGCCCCATGCTGATCTCAAGCAACTGGCTTGGCCCCCTCCGTGAATCTAATTTTAGAGCTCCCAGTACCTCGCTGGAAGCTTTACGGCAGCACGATGCAGAGCTCCATGCTGGTGCGAGCCTCTTCAAACCTTTAATCCATATGGTCTGGATGTTCGGCACCCCAATTTTCACTCGAGGGCATGGTGCCAGCTTGGTCTTGAATCCAGGCTTATCCCTTCTCCCAAAGGCTGAGCTAAAGTCGTGGACTCTGGCTAACCCCGCTGGAGTAAGGTCATCTGCCCAGGCCAGATCTGAGTCAAATTTAGTCCTGCCAGAGGACCTGGTTGCATCCAGCTCCGGTATAAAGGATTGCGGGAGCAATGCCTTGACCAGCAGCACGGTGGCTGGAGCATTTGGGGAGGAAACCTGTGGAGATGCGGGTGCACAAAGCTGACAGCACTGACCAGGCGTGGGGGAGCTCTGCGGACAGTCACGGAGGGTTTACCACATCCTTTCTCCGGCCAAGGGCAAAGGGCCTGAATTTGTATGCCAAGGAGAGTTGTTTAATCCCTTCCAAGTGTAGACTTCTTCAACAGGTGATGAAGAGAGTCCTTCAACAGGTGATGAAGAGAGTCCTTCAACAGGTGATGAAGAGAGTCCTTCAACAGTTGATGAAGAGAGACAGGCACATGGTGATGAAGAGAGTCCTTCAACAGGTGATGAAGAGAGTCCTTCAACAGTTGATGAAGAGAGACAGGCACATGGAAAGCACGATTTGCCTGTCCTATTTTGACCTCTGTGTCTGGATGAGTTGCCCACCAGAAGTGCTTATTTCCCTCTGCCTACTATAAAAGCAGCTCAAATGGTTGAAATCTGCACGTCAACCACCGACTGATGAGAAGAAAACGCTGGTGGGAGCCTGGACTCCCACTCGGGCGACGCAGGCAGCGTGAACAGCGGCTTAACCTGGTGCCCACCTCTTTCCATCAACCGAAGGAGGAGCCTACGTCTCTCTGCAGGTCGTTTGATCTTCCTGTACGCTGGAACCGCAACTATGAGACATTGGGCCAAGGGTTGAGGCTGGGCAGACCTGCCACCTTACGTTGAGGACACGCAGGATGGGCTGCCTTTCCTTTGCACGCTGACAGTTGGAGCACTCGATTGGCAACGGGGGAGAACGAGGTTTGACGCTGCTCTTCCCGAGAGCATTTCTATCCTGGTCTCTATCCTGCTGCTCTTAACCACCTAGCTGTTGGTGTCTGGATGGAGCAAGGTGCTTTCCACCACTCCTCCTGCCCCTCGAGCCACCCGCTCACCGCCGGCGCCGAGCTCTCCAACGCAAGGAGGAACACGAGGGTCATCGGACCAGAGAGAGCGAGCCCAGCTCCACCCAGAACCACGGCCGGATCCGCTCCCCGGCAAAGGAAGCCGGAGGAAAAGTAAAGATCGGTATTTTGTTCTCGACGTCAAAAAACGCCACCTCTCCCCATTCGTAGTCTAGAGAGATGCGGATCTTTCTGGGGACCCGCGGCAGGTTAAGGAGGGTTGGAGGGGAGGTGAGGGCGCGGTTCTTAAATCCCCATTGCTGCACCGCCCAGATCCCTTCCTCGGGATTAAAGCTGATGGGTGCCTTCCTCTGCAGAGACTCTTTGCTGACCCCAACGGCGCAGTACTGTCCCTCTGCTAGATCCACCACCCAGTAGTGTCTCCCGGAGGTGAAGGCTTCGCAACCCAGCACGCAAGGATCGGCGTCAAACCGCTCGGGGCTGTCGGGAGGCTCCCGCAGCACGTACTCCCACCTCACGCTCTTCTGATCCTCGGAGAGGACGAGGCGGGGGTGGGCTGTCTCCGGGTCCAGCGTCACGTTTGCTGTGGAAGAGGAAGAAGAGGGCGAGAAAGAGAATTAAACTTGTTTAACCTGCCTTTCGCCCAGGGACTGGGGTCGTCTTGGAAATCTAAAAGGGTGTTTTGTCTTCCTGGAGCTGAAGGCTCGACAACTCGACGCGCAGCTTTCCCTACACGCATACGCGACGCCATTCAGCAAACCAGAGTACCAAATTACTCCCCCGTTCTTTTCTTCATCTTTCTCCAAATTACTTGCCCATTTTTTCTTCCTCTTTCCCTAAAAATGCACAATAACAAATAAATTATTAACGGCGATGTAAGCTGAAATCCAAAAGCCAAAGGGGTATTTGTAGAAGGGAGAAAAATGCACTTACTGTGCTCTTCAATGCATTTTCCTTAAAAGAAATAAAATTAAAAGTAGTTTTAGTGAGGGTGTTTTTTTAATTCAAAGATGCCTCCAGTTCACCCTAATTTTTTATCTCCTTCCCTCCCCCAAAACAGTGCTTTTTTTTTCTTCCCCCCCCCCAAAAAACTGTTGTGAAATCAGACCTCACGGAGACTTGTGTCTGTAACACGACTTGTCTAAATTTAGATTAAACCTCAGAAAAAAAAAACCCCACAGACGCTTTAAACTAACAGGCAGAAGCCACCGCGCAGGAAAAAAAAAAAGCTGTAATAGGTCATATCAGGAATTTCCGCTAGGATTAGAGGGCATCGCCTGTACAGTTTGCAGAGGGACGAAGGTGCCTGGGTGCTCCGGAAAGTCACGACCGATATTTTCACCTTTTGGGGGCGATCTCTGCCGCGCCGAAGCCCACGGAGGTGACCAAGGCCAAAAAATCTCACCGCTCACCTATTCCAAAATGCCCCCCCCCCCCCCCACACCCCCCCCCTTCTCTCCCGCGCCCGGGCG